GATAGCTTGTGTTACATTTCAAACTTGACAAACATTGAAAATTGAACCGTTGTTATGTATGTTCTCAGTATCAACAAAAAATATCTTGTTTGAAAGCTAACTCACACACTTTCATACCAAGATTCACAACCATATTCAGTATTTTGACGTTCATATTCAATGTTTACCAGTTCAATATTTAACCACTGAACTAAAATAGCGAATTCGTCTAGTTTATTTTTATGTACTGTTCTTTTAAATTGTTGATGCTTGGTAATAGGTTATCATTTGACTTAACTATCTAATTTATGTTCTTTTCAGACAAAGGGTGATGGAAGTATCTCATGACCTTTCCACTTCTTATTTTTTAAGTCAGTTGTTATTTTTGAAATGGGAGCGATAAATCTCAGCTTTTATAGAAATGAATGAATTAGTGGTGTTTAATCTGTTACACCTGATTCATTATTCTTTCTCAATAAAAGAAATGATTATCTTTGTTTATCAACGTTGGGCGAAATTCACCATTAGTATGAAAATCAACGACTGCTTACTTCAACTTAGTCTTTACTCGTGTTTAATTGCAATGTCGTTTACCATTTATACAAGTAGATAACCTTATTTCATAAAATGTGCGGTTGCCAGTTGGAATTTTTCCTATATTTATGTGTATAGTCTTCCTTTTTTCGATCGCATCATCTCTTCAATAATTACTTACCGACTGTTAATCACTTAGCGATTTTCCAGCTTTCCATGTAGTTACACAACCTACTAGCTCTTTAGCAACTCCATCTTTTACACTCCCATTTGTCTGTTGTCCCCCACCCCAGAGACTTAGGAACTGATAACAAGTTTTAGTTTGGTAACCCCCCCCCACAACCTTTTTCCAGCTTGTATCTGCTTCGTCTAACATCTCCCGATGGAGCAGACGAAAGTAACACGTGAACAACTTATGCTCCACCCACCTGAGTCAATGAAGATTCTCAACCTCATCAACTGACTTTCCTCTTGTTCCTAAACTTCTGCACCTCACTTATGCGCTTCTGACCTGTTGCCACTACGAAATACTAAAAACAATACAACGTATAACTTGCTGACGTCTGCTCAACGTAGGTGAACCTGTTGCAGTAAGACTGGTTAAAACTAGACTTTGCATTCAGAAAGAAAATGTTCAAGCACTATTCCCCCCTTTGACTTTCAATAAACTGAAGACTACTCCTGTCTTTATCATTTGTTGCTTTTTCTTTTACCATCAATATTTCATCCTTATAGTGACAAATTTTTCAAAAAGTCTATTTCGAAACGATCAAAAAGATTTGTAGCTGACGATGAGAATGATAGTCATTCAATGTTTTCTGAACAGTGTTATTTTGTAGCAGACTTCTCATCACAAGGCTTGGTGATATCCTCAGCAGACTTTATTCAGAAGTGTTTTTCAACTAATAGTTGCACTACAATTCTATTTCGTAACTATGGAACCTAGTGAGAACTTATTGAATAAGTATTCCTCCTTCAGGTTATTTTTAATTAGAGTTATGAGATCCTTTAACTGCCTAAAAGCCGTGAGATACAGTTCATACCACGAAGGCAACAGTGGTCGATAATTGGAAGCCTTCTCATGGTATTTACTATTAATGGTAGTGTTTCACAGCCACATAGTAGAACAGAGTAAGCTACAGAACAGTAATCTCTGGCCTTAACAGACAAGCAGATACTACAGTAGTAACACAAATAGCATGAGCTGGCGAAAATCAAGTTAGTCTTTCCTATATATATGATTTCATCGGTCACTGGCTCATCATGGTTGATCCGACTTCCTTGTATCTTATAGTATACGCAAAGGTCGATTAAAAGGAAAGACCAACTGCAGCGGTAAGAGAATGTTTTAAACTGCTGTGGAATCTACATTATCTAACCTGACCGACTGTTGAAAAACCAATTATTGTGCGCTGTACAATCAATCTTAATAGTTGTTTCTAAGTCTAGCCTAGAGAATTTAAAATTCAGCCAAATATCGCCATTCACCTGTATTCACTTGAAACTATATTTCCAATGAATAGTTTGTTTAAACAGAAGCCTACTTCGAATTGTTGATAGCGGATATTTCAAGGACTTAGTTACTACCCAAACTCTTCAGTGCAACTTCGAAGTAACAGCGCACCTTCATTTGAACATCTAAATCCGGAAATAAAACACTTCCTTTTTCCTCTGAATTTCACTTCTTCTTGACTTGATATCTAAACAAGCACACATTTGCTAATAGTTACTGATCAATTCGTTCAAACCAATCAACAACAGGAAATAAAAAGTAATCAAATTCTTTTGATATGTTATTTACATCATAACCTTTACCATCATACAATATCCACGTCATTAACCTATATAATCCTTCTCACAATTACCTATTTATTGTGCTAACGGGGTTTTCACTCTACTGACTGCAAAAAGTAACTACACAGTGAGGCTAACCTCTTGAAGTAACAAATACATTTATATACATAGTCATAAAAACCATGCATCCTCCTTTTGTGGCTCATATAGTTGTATATAAAGCACGCTTAACACCAAGTTGATTATTACTATTCGTTGGTATCTTTATTTCTCTGTTGTTGTACTGGTCGATATCTGTTGTATCATTGGGAACAGCATCACTCACTAGGGTGTAGATACATCCGGCTGATGAGTCTCAAATACGACGAAACGCTCGTTCTGGACTCGATTGCTATCCACAACCGAATAAGCTATTATAAGTTGGTTATCGTTTTTTAATTTTGCTTACAGATTATTTTGTTTAACTTACCCATAATATTAGCATTTTCTACATACCTAACACTTGTTATTGAATAAAACAGTAATGGGTTTAAAACTGTAAAACTTCCAGTTAAGATGAACATCTGCATTACTGAAACCTAGTGTCGAAAAGTACTAATTATTACTTGTTTCTCTAATAACAGATGATTATCGCTGATAATCTGTCGGATAAAATTCCTGTTTTCGTTAGTTGTTATGAAATTCCTATAAGTATAGTGAAAGGAACCGATTTATATTTTAGAGAATTTCAGTTGGTGAGAATAAGTTAAAGTATGTTCAACGTCAGACCTGAATCTCCTGAGTCCGATCTCTGGCAGGAGTCCAATACTAGGACTATACAGCTGTCCAGTGCCACCTAGTTTTCAATGGTTTTCAAGTGGATTCCACTTTGTGATGAATACTACTCTTAAATAAATAAAAATCCCACAAACGTCATGTTAAATATTATTTTTGTAAGAAGAAAACTATTGCGAATCAAGCGAAAGGATACATTGGCTAGTTTAGACTTAAAGATAGTTCACTGACTTTATAATGGCTTCGCCTCAATGCGGTAAATAAATATATTTAGCAATAAGAAAATGTCAGTTTAGTAATAAGTCAATGTTGATACGAATTATTTTCCTCATCCTACAAAATTAAGATAAATTAATCCCTGAAGGCATATTCTCTGTGTTGTAGTGAAAGGTAGATCCTGTTTGTCAAAGAAATCAGTTCTAAATTAACTTGCTTATACTTGACAAATATTTTTGTTTACGAAATTAAAGTTAAATTTGTATACAAATATTCTTCATTTAAATTGTGTCAGGTTTAAGCATTTTCCTAGTTAAAAATACAGGCTCCATTTCATGTAGAGTTATATTTATCTGCTATGTGCCATACTTCCAGGATGAGTTATAATACAATATTTTGAAGTGATAGAAAAGATTTGTGCCTCAGGATGAGGATAGCAGCAGTTTGCTACTCTGTTAGGTCTAGTTTTTCATCATGACATCATCAGTACCAAATTCTTTATATAGTCACCAGTGATGATGCCAACAAACCTAGTGATGGGACGTCAACAATAAAATATCAAACTTCACGGAACATCGAATTATTGTGATACTTCATCTAGAAACATCTCTACAATTAAGTTTAAATGTTGAAATAACAGTTAGAATTTTACGTGACTGAATGCTTGTTACAATGAAGTGGCATTTTATGAATCAACATTTCTCGATTTTCATAACTGAAATAACTGACGTCATGGCCACTCATCCAAGAAGAGAATTTTCAGCTCCTGAAAACTTGTCTTTCGTAATCAACAACAGCTACACTACACTCACATAACTATGAAATAATACTGTTTACTTATGATTCAGTTTGGTAATTTTAAGCACATTTCATGAAAACGTGACCACCAAATACTGTCAGGTATTTTAACCCACTAAAGATGGCACTTCTTAGAACAAAGTCGCTTTTGATTACGATTACTTTAGACAGGTAGTCCACCAATAGAGTTATGGCCCTTAGGGTTTGGCAGTTTGACTTTCAACCAATGGGTTGCTAGTACAAACACCGCTACCCCTACCAAAGGTTGGTCAGCTAGGTAACACCACTTAACCTGACATACAAACTGTAGCTCATTGACTACTCCACAAACTTGCACAAGGTTACTGAGCGGGTTTTGACTCAATCTAGTCCTCCTTCATACTGTTACTTAGTGCGTTGCTAAACCGGCCTCTAGGAGATATACACTATTTCACATTATGTACGCTAGTTTCTTTTAGTCTCCGTAAAAGAAGTCTTTCATGGGATCGTATCTTAAAAAGTCGGATTTCGGTATAATCATAAACCTAGGTATTACATTGTTAATTTTCTCAAAAAGCTTGGGATCATGCAATAACCATAACAGTAGTAAACTGATTTGTAAGTTTTGAAAAAGAATTATGAAGAAGAGCAAATCACTCATATCCCACTATTGTCTCAGGTGAACTCGTCTAGTTCGTCATTTAAATTCAAAATGTATACTGTCGAGAAGATATGATCGATGTCTTTATACGACAATCACCTTCATAAACCATAATAAAACTAGGAATACTAATTAAACTGATTGAGACAATGCAATATTATAGGCAATACATGGATTTACAAACATTTCAGTGCTAGCGCGTACGCACACATACATACACACACACACACCCATAAATGCGCTTGCATGCCTGACTAACACTTACCTTGAGGCGCCGTTCGTAATCTGCCTAAAAAACCACTAACAGGACTGCAGTATAATAGAAAAATCCATATAAAGCCAATCAGATATACTTGCAGTTGATTAGTGTGTACCCGGTGATTGAAATTCATACAATTCAATAGTGATACTTTGAACTTGATCGGTTTGTGGGGCTCTAGTGAAAGAGCACCCATTATGCTTTAATAATGTTTTTATTGTTAGTGTGATATTGTTTTGCAAGAAGATAACAAGAAGATAGAAAGCTCACTGATTAGTATTGATAATAATATTATTATTGCCTAGTCCTGTTTAACAGATAATATGCCTACAGATAAATAAAAAAAGGTGTCCAAAATCAGCTTAGGCATATGTTTAGATGGTAAGCATTAACCATATCCCTTTATTCACCAATTCACATACGCTTATATATCACTTTTACAATCCAAATGTGTTAGTAAGTACATACATATTAATGGAGAAATATGCACATACACGTTAGTTAGCCAAACAATGAAACTTTAGTTTTCACATCAAACCTACAGAAATTAGTTTATTTTTATCTTGTGTATACTTGTTTTCAAGGCTTTTCATTTGATAGTTTCGACCTTCTTTTCGTCCAACCTAATGTATTATAACACAAATCCATCCTATGTGATATTTAGTGTACAAAAAAATTGCACCTGGAAGGTGGGATATCTATAAGTTGGTTTTATTTGTTGTATTTCTATAGGAGGATGTGTAGGAAGAAGTGGAGTGACAGGAATACAAGTTAAGTGCTAGCATATAGCCCAGATAACAGTTAGTACCAAGTAGTGAACATATATTCATCGATGCACATGTGCACAAACACACACACGTAATGCAGCACCATGTGTGTCGAACAGTGTTAAGCTTAATAAAGTGTGTCTTAGTTCTGGAAAATTTTAGAAATTCGTCCAGAATACAGAACGGTCAACAATCTCACCTTACTCTACCATGTCGTGATAGCACCTAAGAACTCAATGACTATATTAAATTGAAAAAATTCAAGAAAGTGGAATCATTTGTTTTGTTGTTCGAAATTATTCATCTTAATAGGCATGCCTTCTTTCCTGTCTAATCAAAAGCATTCACTTCTTTTCGTGTATTTCATCTACCGTTCAAGCTGCAAATTAAAATCTGGCGTCCAGAATATTACTTTCAGAAATGTCAGCTGAGAATATTGATCTAAAATAGCCTAAATGTTAAAAATTCTTCTTGTTGTTCAAAAAGAATGACATTATGCATTTGTGTGGGTGTATTTATGAATGTGTATTAAATTAGACTGTATTTAGATTACTTTGTTTGATAGACAATCAGTGACCATAAGTGCTAAATTGTATACACAGAGATAAATTTTCAGGCAGATAAATATTTAAAATGTACACAAATTCATGCTTGAAAGCAACAGAAAATATTGAACATATTGAATGTAATCAGCCTATAAATGACATCTAATCGATTTTATGATTTATAACTTACTTGAATAAGCTTAGAGTTACTAAACAGAGGCAGAAGTTACTGACATTGATGAAAATTGAGCTGATTAAATATACAACAAGAAAAAGATGGAAGTTTGTGGGTAGAATAACTTGTAGTGACCATGTGTCATGATAATTTGCGCACAACTTCATGTATCACTGAATCTCAACCACAGAAAAGTCATCTAAGTCATTGACTAGAAAGTAATCACTTCATGAAATACTTAGCACAGTATATGATTCCTTCTCTTTCATACTATCACTGATGATCTTCCTGATTGTAGTCGACAGGATTGGATCATGCAACCGACAACTGTGAGAGCTGTGAGAAGAGGGGCATACGCTAGCTGGACAGATGAAAAGACTTTAAAGAAGATTTGGATTTTGCCACCGATGATGATTTATGTCTAATGTCTTATCGCACAAACTCGAAGATCTACAGGCGAAAACTAACAAGTTGACAGAAGAGGGAGAACGGCGAAAACAGGACTTCAAGTGAATGTAGAGAAGACAAAGGTGATGAAGATACTCAACCAACATCAGCATCAACAACAAGCACCAATCACTATCAACGGAAGCAACCTAAAGCATGTAGTCTCTCGCACCTCCCTAGGCAAAGAAGTGTCGTTTCAACTACAGGCGGCGCAGGCACAGGTGAGGACTTCAAAGCAGCAGGATCGGAAAAGCAAAACAGGCTTTCATTAACCTGAAATCAGTGTGGAGATCTACCGCACCACACTACACTACACTCCACTCAGCATGAAGCGTGAACAAGATCCGGATTTTCAACAGTAATTCAGTCAGATCAGTGTGCTTCTATGTGATGGTTGAGAGGCTTGGCACGTTATGAAAAGCACTTCCAACAAACTACAGACATCCATCAACAACTGCCGCCTACGCTGGCTAGATACTGACATTGAAGATCAGAAGAATAGAATAGTATGAATATGCAACAAGGAACTCTAGGAACGAACCAACCAGGAACCTATCGCTCAATAAATATGCAGAAGAAGGTGGAAATAGATTTGGCATACACTGAGAAGACTGATTGAGGACATCACGCACCAGACCAGGTCGTCGAGTGAAATGCAAATGGGAACGACGAGTTGGGCGTCTGAGGTGAGGGTGACATGGAGGAGATTATGTGAGGAAGAAATGAAAGCTTGTGGGTAGTCGTGGAGCCAGGTTGAAAGGACTAGAGAGAATAGAGTGGAATGGAGGCGTGCTACTGAAGCCCTATTTTCCACTAGGAACCCAAGGGAAAAATAATATTGATGATAATTGAATGTCCGGTTACTTAACTTCATTGGAACAGTTGAAATAACACATAGATTTAATGACCTTGAAAACTCAACATTTGTCACTTGTAGACAGAATGCATCATACAATGAAGATTAAATTTAAATTCTAGGCATGATTCACTTCCAACCATGTTCTTGGTAAGGAGTCTGTATACCTGGTTCAATATTTTATCCATACTTCAAATTAATATATATGGTGTTTTCCATATAAGCACTGTTTCCTAATCTTCATTTGTTTTAATCATCAATTCTCTCTTTTCAAATTAGCCAGCATGTCAAGTTTCCCTCAGAATATTCCAAAGTTCAATTTGGGTCCATCTGCAATCATAGATACTGGCCCACAATGAGATTCAAGACTCACCTTTATTCTTCTGTGGAACTCGTCAGCCGGATATATCTCACCCCACTGAGACTCGAACCTAGTGCTACTGTGCAACATGTTTCTACATTTAAAGACTAATTCTTATAAAATCGCAATGCAGATGTGTACTCAGACGGTTTGTCTATTTTTTCCTCAATGCATCAAACAATAAAACATGTTTAATTATCTTATATAGGACAGTAACTGATTTTTTTCAAAGAAAGAACATTATTAGACAATTTTAACAATCATTTTGCTATCATCCCATAAAAGGCTTTCACATTTTTCTTACCTTCCAACTCATTATCAGCATGTCCTTCGCCTAACATAGAATCATTAACATTCTATTAATAACTTCCAATAGTAAAATTTAAAAATTCGATCGATAAAAACGACAATAATCCTAATGATAATAATGGCTGTAGCAATTTGTGTGGAATGATGAATAATGGTGTAAAATAGCCAACATTCGGTGTTGTAATCTCTAATCACCGGGTTAGTTGTTGAAGGGATTTGTTTTTTTTTCTATAAAGTAGTTTCCACTGCTCATCGACATCAGGATGTTGAGATGAAAATTCTTAAGTTCGGTAGAGTCACCTCAGATTACAATCAATGAACTTTTCCATGGGTGATCATAGAAAGTAGTCTCTAATGTTGTAAGTTTACCAAAGCTGGAAAGCATTACTCTAGCTTGAATTTCTAATATCTGAGTAGAATTTCAATCAAGAACACGATATCTGAATGTTGTGTGTGTTAATCCCTGTTGGAGATGCAGTTGAACACCGTTGAAAAGTTATTTGTGTTTAGGAAAAAGCAGCTGGTTAGTTCAACTTGCTTTAGGATGCCTTTATAGCTGACAGTGAACACTATGAGTGAGTCTTTACTGTTTAAAGACAAGTGAGTATTCACTTGAATACACTTTCCTAGATTTGGTTATTTATAACAACAGTTATGTATTTTGAAGCAGCCTAACTCCATAGGTTTATCAAGATATTAGCCAGAGTCCGTAATGAAATCGTACAACTGAAATGCAGATTAATGAAGATTGTAGGCCAAAAAGACAACTTCTGGTTGAACCATCCAATGAAGACAAAGCTGAAGCTTTCAACAAATCCAAAAATACTCAAATGAAAAAGTTGAACAAACTAATGGAAGATAAATTTCCTCCAAAGAAGAATGAAGCTACAAATGAGATATCACTTACCATCAATCAAACAAAACGGGTGATCAATCAACTAGATAATTAAGCTGAACTGAAGCAAACATTTCCAAGAAATGACTAAACTTCGGCATACCAGTAGCTCAACTCAAACCCGATGATGTTATACCCAGCATCGAAGTAAAATGAATACGACTACTGATCAGATACGTGAACAACAAAACATCAAAAGAAAGGAAGGAAAAACTTCAAGAGACCAGAAATATTGATACTAAGGAAGTTAAGAAATGACACTAGTATAATAATTGCCAAGTGTGACAAGGGCAAGTTCACAGTAGTTATGGATAAGGGGGATTACTTGAGAAAAATCAATGGACATAGTGAAAAAGGATCATATAAGAAAATCAAAAAAATCTGTAGACACAGTTGTGAATAAGATTTTTTCTAAAGTTAAGTGTTGATCTAATATGAGAAATGAAGCCACTAATTTACTGGGTGCGTCTCATTAGTTTAATTCAATCCCTAAAATTAATAATCCTAGTAGAATATGTGGTACACTAAGCTTCATAAAACAAGTTATCCTATTTGGCAAATAGTTGACTTTAGAAACACATCAGTATATGAGTTTTCTTAATGTGTAGCTAGAATTCCATGTCTCTTTAGAAATCGGTCAAAATCTAGGCGCACCAAATTTACCTGAATTGAAACAAAGACCAAATGATATAGAA